TGCTGCCCAAGCCCCAAAAAGGCATTTCATCACCAGAAACTAGGAGAAAATGTGCTAACAGCTGGGGGCTTGGGCAGGGCTGAGGCACTTGTTTCAGGGGCTAAGCCAGTGCTTCCCAATTTTTTCTTCAACATGACCTCATTTCCTCAGCATGGCCTCTCACTCCCAACCTGCAGCCCCCCCACCTGCACAGGTGCCGGTCACTCCTGACCCACAGCTCCCTGTCCCCACCCCCCCATGCCATGCCAGAGGGGGGCCCCTGCTGTCAGGGCTATGGGACCAGGGCCATGACCTGCAACTCCCTGTCCCCGCCCTTCCCCCCCAGCAGCACCTGAGCCCTGACTGCTGCCTGTGGGAGGTGGCAGCTGCTGCCTGCAGCTAATAGGGCCCTGTTCCCTCCCTCCTCCTCTCCCCCCACCCCCCCCATGGGTGGCACAGCTGGAGCAGAGCAAAATTAAGTTATCTAGTGCCTGCCTATGTGCCAAATCAAGTGTAGTCTGAATAAGGAAGCACCAGGCTCAGCAGAATTATTATACTTTAGCTTAGAGCAAAGTCTTTCCCACTCAAAATGAAAATCTGACCTGCAAGTGTGCCTGTATTTTGTTTATGCCATAAGTGAAGATGAGCCCCCTGACCTGAGGAACATTTTTTTAATTTAAATTTTTTGTATTCCAAGCCAAATTAGCCAAAACAAATTCCAAATCCATGAGTTGGCCCAGAACCATGAGTAGCCCTGCTACCAGCAAACATCCTCCACCCCCATCTGAGGCTTCAGATGTTCCCAAATCCTTTGGTAGGCACCCTGCTTGCAGGCCCAAGCCTGGAGGTTTGGGGTTTGGATGCCCCTGAGTTTTGGTTGCCCTTAGCTATAGGGCCCCAGGAGCAAGCCAGGGAGGAGTCTCCCATTTTCACAAAGTGGGCATAAAGCATTATCTATGCAGGTACTATCGCATGCCAGCAGAGCAGCCTTCCCCGGGTATGACCAGGAAGCTACCATGGTGATCATGGTATTTCCCCTTCCAGGCAAGCATAGGACTATGCTTGACCTGAGTCGACAAGAGACCCCTGACTTGAGGAACTGCTACGCACTCTGACTGCCCTGCTGATCTCATATCCTTCTCTTTGTCTTGGTAGGATAGTCAAGCCAAAGGTGGCTTCCATGGAGGAGATGGCGAGCTTTCACACTGATGCCTATCTGCAGCACCTACAAAAAGTTAGTGAGGAAGGGGATGATGATCACCCAGAATCTGTGGAGTATGGACTTGGTAAGGAGCCTCTTAAGGGAAGATGAAGGGCAGATGCATTGATTCATTCCTAGCTTGAAGCATTGTGCTCTTGCCAGAATGGCTTTCTCTCAACCCTGTTCTGTAGAGTACATTTCTGTTTTGAGATGAAGTGACTGTATAAGTAGCTCCAGAAGAGTGACCAGGATCTTGTTCTGCCTTCTGCATCAGTGACAGAAGGCTACCTGAGTTTCAGTTCCAGAATCTCTTAGTGAAGCTGATGTGTGACCAGGAAAAGAACCTGCTTGGCTGTTAGATGACCAGGGTGTGTGTACAGGGCTGGCAGCTAGGAGCAAGACATTGTTTTAGTTGGAAAATAATAGAATTGCGCTGATACACAGGTCCGATATTGGAACGGCATGGATATAAAGAAAACTTAGTATATCAGAAGTCGGCTATATCAGGTTGATTATTTAGCTGATAAATGGCCCGTGCATGCATGCAGCGCAGCACAGGCAGCCAGGAGCACAGCCTGGCAGCATGGAGAGCTGCCTCCAGCTGGTAAGTTGTGGGAGTGGGGAGGGAAGGGGTGTGGGGGTGTGCAGATCAAAGCTCCTGCCAAGAGGGAGGAAGGGGACTGGAGCTGGGGCAGGGGCAAGCACTACCCAGCCAGGGCGGGGTGGGTGTGGGACACAGCCGCAACTTGTCTGGGGGGCACAGGAAGTGGGGGGCAGCTCCCACCGCCACACGCTGCTTGGTCAGGAGCTGCTGGTCCAGCACTCGCCTGCTCATCCCGCTGCTCCCGCCACTCATCTGGGAGGGCATGGCAGGGGGTGGGGCGGCAGCGCATGTGCCCCTGGGTCTGCACAGGGTGGTCTGTGGCCGGGGCTGTGCCAAGCTCTTTCCTACAGCTGCAGTGCTGGGAAGGAGCTACAGTGAATTTGTGGCTGCAGCCCTCCCTTTAGCCCCCTCCCAGTGCAGCCCCTCCTTGCCAGGAAGAGCTTGGTGCAGACCTGGCCCCAGCCCACCCTGCACAAACCTGGGGGCACATGCCTGTGACCTCCCAGACTAGCGGCAAGAGCTGTGGGACAAGCAGATGAGTGCTGGATGAGCTGCCAGACCAGCACCTCCTGGCATGTGGTGGTGGAAACTGCCTCCCCCCCTGTGCCCACTGGATGAGCCACGGCTCTGTCCAATGCCCAGCCTGCCACTCCCTGACTGGGCAGTGCTTGGTCTGCCCTTGCCCCCTTACACACACACATGCACCTCTTCCTTTCCCCTCTCACCAGACTTACCACCTGGAGGCAGCTCTCCACGCTGCTGAGCTGGTATCAGAAATTGGATCGGTATTGGCGGATACGCCTCCTTAAAAATCAGGTATTGGTATTGACCACACAAATGTCTATCAGTGCATCTCTAGAAAATAAGCATACTTACTCTGAGGCCATCCAGAGCTGATAACCATGGAATTTGGAAAGAACATTTCAGAGAAGAGCTTAAAGTTTGAATAAACTTGACTTAGGTTGCATCTAGACTTGGGATTTGTTTTTATTCTAGCGATTTGTACAGCTTTGCTGAAATATCTGAGATGTACACAGGCAAAACTGCTACTTGTACTGCTGCATCTCACAGGTTTCAAACAGGGATGCTCAGGGATCATGCCAAAATTGCTATGTTCCTAGGTTCTGAAGTTGCTTTTTTTCAGTTTTGCATGGAGAATGCACTAGCTATAGCTCCATGGTTCTTTTGGGGTTAGGAACCAGGATGCTAAACCAGTAGTACAGGAAAATAAGGCCAGTGGGAAATGTTTACCTTTCTTCTCACAAGTGAACTAAGCCAGAAACTTGATGTTGGCCAGCCACTTTATTGCCAATGCCATTTATCTCATCATTTCATGTAATGCTTGGATACTGCACTATGAATTGCTCTGACCATCTGGATGTTCCAGTGGTATGAAAAGTAGTTTGGGAAACAGCTGCATAAATATATTAGCTTTGCTGTAGCAGTCAAAATGGATGAAGAGCAAAGCGGTGTTGTTTTTTTTTTGCCTGTGCTGGAGATAAGACCAAACATGAATCAAGGGGAGTGATAGGAACTCATTTGCCTTTGGCATTTAGCTGCCTCCTTCCCATCAGCATACAGACTGACTGGGCCTGGCTGTGGAGTCTTGAGTTCTGCCAGAATGCTTGAGTCTTTCCCTTCCCTGCTCCCAAGTTCAACAGGTTTAATTCTAGAAACTGTCCTTAGAACTCCCTGTTGTTCAGATCTCATAGGTGACTGTTTGTAGGGACTGAAATATTGATTGTACCTGGAGAGGTCTCCAGTGGGAGGAGTTTGCAGGAGATGGAAGGATCAAGCTGTAGGATGAAATCTCTCAAATTCCCATAACAGTGTTTCCATATGGAAGGATCAGCTTCTGGAAGCTCAGGGAATGTCATGCAGTATTTTAGTGAGGTTTGGGGGATATCACTTTTCCAAGTGAAATAAGAGCCTATAGAGCAAACCATCCTGAAGCATCTTTACCAGACTGGAAAACCTTCAAAAGACAAGCAGGCCTAACTGGCCAAGTACCTCCTTGGGCACTGTGTTAGCTGGTAGCTTATGCACACACCTTGACTATTGCTTATCTGACCAAGCATCATTTTTTCTCTTTACGTAGTGTGGTCCAAAAACTTTGGAAATCCAAAAGGTGAGGTCTTCCGCTGGGAACCCTTGTTAAAAGTGTTATAGTTCACTTGCGAGTTTGCTCTAGCCATGTACAGTATCTACGGTAGAGCTGGGAATAAAGAGAAGTAGTTAAAGTTAAAGAGGATGCATGTCCATCAGGGAAGCAGGGACAGTCCCACTGAAGTCTCCTTCTGTCCTGAGCAATACTTTCTGCTTCTTGTCTCTAGGTTATGACTGTCCAGCCACTGAAGGAATCTTTGACTATGCAGCAGCTGTTGGAGGAGCCACCATTACAGCAGCCCAATGTCTGATGGATGGCAAGTGCAAGGTAGCGATTAACTGGCCTGGAGGGTGGCATCATGCAAAAAAGTAAGTAAACAACCTCTTACCTTTTGTTTCCCAACCTAGTATCTGAATCAAACCTACTACCTCCTGACTTTCCCTACAAGTAAACAGGGCAGGAAGATTAAAATCCAGGAGAGACCAATGTGGATAAATGGAAAGTGTACTGGGAGAGGCAAAAGAGTGGTTTGAACAAAAGCCTGGGGCAGCTGGGAAAGAAGCATCTAGAGCAGAGATTTGGGAATCAGGAATCCTGCATCCATATTCTGGTTCAACAGCAGACTTTGTTGTGTGATCCTGGGGCAAGTCCCTTACCCTAACCATACCTTGTTACCCTCCCTGCCCCCATCAGATGATGTCTTCCTAATAGTATGGAGAGGCTTCATCCTTATCAAGTTATGTAGGCTGTTTATAGTCACAAGCTGGGAAGAAAATGAGAACTTTGAATTAAATTGGCTCTCCCTTTTGCTTTCTTGCTCTGAAAGTGCCTGTTAGCTTTATTGACACTGTTGCCTTATCTTGGCCATTACAATACTGACCTATCTCAGAACAGCAGGAGACGAGATGGTAAGTAACCATTCAATTACTTTTTTTTCTAGGAGACCACATCTCTATCACTTGCTTGTACACCTAACCATGGCTTGTTCACATGTTGGTGTGGGTCTTAGCATTTTATCTCAGGGAAACGCAATTTTGTAAGTAACAACAGCGTGTACAGACAACTCTTCCTATTTAGTAATAGAATTATAGGATTTTTTTCATGTTGATTGGACCAGCGGCCCATCTATTTCAGTGTCCTGCCTGTGATAGTAACTTCTAATGCATTGGAATAATGGCCTTGGGATGCAGCTCGTCTTTTATGTGTTGGGGGTAGATGTGAGTCCACCCTAACCTTTGGAGTGTGGTGGTGTGTGTCAAAGCATGAAGTGCAGTCACACTCTTGCCATGGGTATCTGTCAGATGGTGTCAGTCAAAGTTTGCCTGTTCCTCTTTAAGTCCTGCTGGAGTGCTTGCATCCTGCATTGTAAGTTTCCCAAGCTGACTGGGGATTCTTCAAAGAAGTACTAATGTGCTGAGTTTGGGCACAGAGAAGGCTTTCTTGAAGCAAATTGTCTAGCTGTAAGTCTAGCTCTGATGCTGGAGTCAAGTGTTTCCTTGGAGCAGGCAAGGGTGGGATTAGTTGCAAAGAACTCCAGTTTTGCATGGGCCAAGTAGGTTTTTAAAAAGTTCCTATATTCCTTTGATTTTGATTCCAGTGCCTGGAATCTGCCTAATCAGAGATACCTCAGGCTAGGAAATAATCTCTACAATTTTGACCCTAACCAAGTCATTGATGCCGCTTTGTGTAACAAATGCATGTTACAAAAGTACGTGCTTCATTTATTGGTATGAACATGCTCTAGGTTCAGTCAGTTTCCACAAGGGGGAACTCCAGGTTAAGGAATTGGTTTCCTATGTCTTTAAGTGGAATGTTCCAGCAGTGATTTTGCATGTAGTTACACGCTGTGTCTCTGCAAGGTTAATGACTGTCAGTATTTCCATTAGAAATCTCTGTCCTTGAGAGTTAGTAGCTTAGATGTAGTATCTTTCAGTAGACAGAAATGCGGCAGATGATGTCTGATGGGAATAATTGTTTTTCCTTGTTAAGTTAAACAAAAAAGGCAAGAGTTAGCATCTAGAAACCACGTGCATGATCAGGGGACCACTTGCATGATCAGGGGACAGCAGGGCAGGCCCTATGAGGAGAGGCTACGGGACCTGAACCTGTTCAGCCTCCAAAAGAGAAGGCTGAGGGGGGATCTTGTGGCCTGTTATAAACTAGTCAGGGGGGATCAGCAGGCATTGGGGGAGTCACTGTTCCCCCGAGCACTGCCAGGAGTGACCAGGAATAACGGTCACAAGCTGGCAGAGGGTAGATTTAGGTTAGATATCAGGAGGCGCTACTTCACGGTCAGGGTGGCTAGGGTCTGGAACCAACTTCCAAGAGAAGTGGTGCAGGCTCCTACCCTGGGGGTTTTTAAGAGGAGGTTAGATGAACACCTTGCTGGGGTTGTTTGACCCCAATACTCTTTCCTGCCATGGCAGGGGGTCGGACTAGATGATCTTCTCAGGTCCCTTCCGACCCTAGAAACTATGAAACAAACTTACTACCCAAGATAGTTTAGGGAGTTTTAATGCTTGAATCCTGGCTAAGGTGTGAGCACAGACTTGTACCCTTAGCAATTGTTTTTGTGGGTTTTTAACACTCTTTGTGTATTTAGAGATGACATTGCCTCCAAAGGCGTTCTTCCCACTGTGTTTTAATTTCCTACCCAAGCCTATTGTGCCCTGAAGCACTCTTCTGCATCTGACATAGTGGGACAATGCCAAAACTAACCAAAAAGCTCTAATTCTCAAATGCTTAATACAGTAGAGAGTCCGTTATCCAGAAAGTCAATTAACCAGAAGGTTTTGTATTAATAAAACCATTATCCTACAGTCTGGTTTCACTTGTGAGGTGGACTGCTGTGCATTGCTTAATTTCCTAGTGCTTTAAGATATTAAAACATTACACCAAACAATGTGTTTGTTGTTCTTTTTAATATTTTCTGTACAGTGCAGTAATTGGAGTCTAGTTTTCAGCCCTTTGTACCGCGATGTTTGATTTCTCTGGAAGAATTTATTATCCAGAATGATGGTAACACTTGTTATTCCAGATAATTGACCGTTCTATTGTATTTTCCTTCTGCCCCTGTTCAGGAGCTGGCACCACACACTTGCACTCTTTTAAACCATGGGTAAGTCCCAGCAGGGCTTACTTAGGGAAGAATGTGTGAATTTGGAGTTAGGCTTTCATAATTGCATATGTATATTGTATACAACACACTTGGCAAAAATATATGTGCATGGCTGACCAAACGTGTGCAGCCCTGGTAACTGGGGGCATGCCAAATTAGGGGCATATTTATGGTAAGTTGTGCTCTTATGTCTGTCAGCCCATTGGAAGAAACACTGCTCTAGGGTGGCTGATCTTTTCTGTGTCTCCTCCTTTTCCATAAGCTCCTGAAATAAATTCATCTGAGGCTTCTCTATAAACTTTTAACTTTGGGGACCAGGAATTGTTTAGGTCAAGTTTGATAACAGTCTTTAAATATCTGAAGGTCAATTTGAGCAGATGGAGATGGGCTTTCCTTTGTGGTTTCAGGGGACAGGCTTAGGAGTAGTGGTTTGGAGATGCAGCAGGAGATACTTAGGCTAGAGGTCAGAAGCAACTTTCTGACTATGAAGGTGGTCAAGCACTGGAACAGGCTACCTAGACGAATTGTGGGATCTCCATCTTTATAAGTTTTTTCAAGAGCAAGTTAGACACTTGGCTGGGATGATTTGTCAGAGGTGATCCTACCTTGAGCAGGAGACTGGACTAGATGATCTTGCAAGGTCCCTTCCAGGTCCAATTTCCTATAATCCTAAATCTTCTATCATTATTCCAAGCAGCAATTAAAATAGTTTACAGCCTGGATGCAGTCCCCCTTTCTCTCTCAAATATTCTTATTCCAAAATAGAAGTGTCCATACAAAAATGAAGCTTACAACAAGTGGAAACTTGGACAAAAAGACTACAGAGGAGTATGAGAGTATTGCTTAGGCATGCAGGGATGAAATCAGGAAAGCCAAAGTGCAGCTGGAGTTGCAGCTGGCAAGGAACATGAAGGGTTTCTACAAATGTCAGTAACAAGAGGAAGATCAGGGAAAGCGTAAATCCTTTATTAAATGGGGGAGGCAACCTAGTGGCATGATGTGGAAAAGGCTGAAGTATTTAATGCCTTTTTTACCTCTTTCTCCATGGGTAGGGTCAGCTCCCAGACTATTGTACCTGGCAGCACAGTTTGGGAAGGCGAGCAGGCAATAGTGACAAAAGAACAAGTTAGGAACTATTTAGATAAGCTGGACATGTGCAAGTCCATGGGGCCAGATGTGATGCACCTAAGGCTGATGGGGGTGTTGACTGATGTGACTATAGAGCTACTGGCCATCATCTTTGAAAACTCATGGCAATTGGGAGAGGTCCCAGAAAGTTGGAACAGGGGAAATAATAGTGCCCATCTTCAAGAAAGGGAAGATCCAGGGAAATACAGACCGGTCAGCCTCGCCTCAGTCCCTGGGAAAATCATAGAGCAGATCCTCAAGGAATCTATTTCTAAGCACTTGGAGGAGAAGAGAGTGATTAGGAAGAGTCGGTATGGATTTTCCAAGGGCAAGTCATGCCTGACCAACCTGATTGCCTTCTGTTACTGGTTCTGTGGATGCAGGGAGAGCAGTGGATGTGGTGTACCTTGTCTGTAGCAAGACTTTTGATATGGTCTTTCACAACATTCTTGCAAGCAAGCTAAGGAGGTATGGGTTGGATGAATGGTCTGTAAAGTAGATAATAAACAGACTAGATCATTGGGCTCAGGGTTGTAGTCAATGGCTCAATGTGTAGCTGGTAGCCATTATCAAGTGTAGTGCCCCAGAGGTTGTTTGTGGGGCCAGTCTTGTTCAGTATCTTTATCAACAACCTAGATGGTGGGATGGAATGCACCCTCAGCAGTAAGCTGAATATGAGCCAACACTGTGCCCTTGTTTGCCAAGAAAGCTAATGGCATACTGGGCTGCATTAGTAGGAGCATTGCCAGCAGATCAAAAGAAGTGATTCCTCCCCCCTATTCGGCCCTGGTGAGGCCACATCTGGAATACTGCTTCCACTTTGGGCCCCCCATTACAGAAAGGGTGTGGACAAATTTGAGAGAGTGCAGTGGAGGGCAGTGAAAATAGTTAGGGGGCTTGGGCACATGACTTCCAAGGAGAGGCTGGGGGGAATTGGGCTTATTTAGTCTGCAGAAAAGACTGAGAAGGGATTTAATTGCAGCCTTCAATCACTTGAAGGGTGGTTACAACGAGGATAGAGCTTGATTGTTCTCAGTGGTGACAGATGACGGAACAAGAAGCAATGGTCTCGAGGTGCAGCCAGGGAAATTTAGGTTAGATATTAGAAAAAACTCTCTCACT